GCTACACAGTATGCTATAGCATCTTCGATCTGTAGCGAAACAATTGTCATATTTAAATACAATAGTGAAACTTTTAAACAGTGTAGTTTATATTAAAATAAAACAATATAGCCACCTATTACTTACTACGTACACGGTGGTCAAAACTTAAGTATAGGACGAACAAAAATGCCAACCAAAACTGATAGCATATTTTGATTATAGACCCTTTTGGTAACACTAACATGTATTTATAAAAATCCCAGCTGATCCTATTTTAAAGTTTTGCAAACTTTTTTTGTTTTTCTATTTCTATATATTATTTTGAAATTATTGTACTAAAACTACCTGTACAATTTTAATAAAATTAAGCAAAATAATAAACTTTGTATCATTTAAATTACTTTACTCCACAGTATTAATTTTTGAGTCACCTATTATTTTTTACCACTCAAAACAAAACATAACAAAAAAAACGAAGATTTATATCTTAAATATTTTGTATAACAAAAAATACTGGAAGTTTGTCTATGAAATAATTATAATTAGTTGTATACAACTTGCAAATTTTGTAAAACAATAATTAAGGTGGTTATGAAAAAAATTGCTATACGTTATAACGCAAGTGACATTTTGCTTTAGTTGTTTATTTAATGTATACTTTATAAAGTTAAACATAGTATTTTAAAATGAAAATTAAACCGAAATTCAAGTTAAGCCATGAAGAAAATCGAAAGAGTGTATGTGCTGGCTGTGGAGACAAAATTGTTTTTGGTAATCGAAAAATTCAGAGTTTAGGTTTTCTGAGAAAATATAAAAATTACTGCAGACTTTTTCAAACGAACACTTTAACTTAACTGATTACCTACTTCAATATGGTAAAAACGGTATTTTTGCATAGCCACAATTGCCAAATTTTCAAAATTTAGAAATTGCTAGAGAATTTCGCGGCAGCCAAGAATGTGCTTTATCTGCAAAATGGCAAGATATAAAGGGCATAAAAAATTATTAAGGTAAGAGGACGAACGAACGAACTAAAGTTTTGATATGCTCTTCCTTTCTAGGGGATATCGCTAGATGTAAGAAGCATGTTTGTACAGAGACTGAATAATTTAAAAATACTGTTTCCATGTTAAAAACAATTCCATGTAAAACCCAAGAAAAAGTTTTACTGAAAATTTAAGGCAAGCAGTAATCAATTTTGCTTCAAAGAATCTTTAGTTATTTATTAGTTTTGTATTAGGTACCTTAAAACAATAAATAAGATATTGCAAACTGTATTTTACATTATTTTGTATTTAAAATGTAATTTATACATATTTCAGTCATGTACCTGCCAAATTTTTAAAAACATTTGATAATGGTACTAGAGTATTTTATCGAAATGGCATAAACAATTTTAAAATACTAAGAAATATGCAAAACTTTATTAAAGGATCAGCTGGGATTTTGATAAATACATTTCTCTACGACTACTTAAGAATAGTAACATTCTAGTGTAATTTTTGATCATAGAAAGGATGTTTTTCTGCAATACTGTGCGAGAATATTCCTACTCTTGGTTAAGAATGGTCACAAGTAACGACATCTCCTGACTGTTTAGTAAACGTAAAAAATTTAAAAATATTTAAATATTACTGTATTATTTATTAATTAAAAAATAATAGCAGTTGTATAATTAAGGTTTAGGCACAAAAAATTGGTTATATTTATTGTTTTTCAAATATACAAATCAAAATTATAATAAATTTGATATTAAAATGATAAACCAGTTACCTACTATACCGGCTTTGAAGTTTTGACAGATTCAAAAAGTTTAAAAAAAGACCTTTAAAATGTAGAAAAAGAATAGATGTTGACATAGATAAATAAATAAATAAATAAAATACTTTATTTTCATCCCAAGAAACATACAGTTTATAGAGGGACACCTCTAATCATACAATTACTTGTAAAATTAGTTTTGTATTTGTTACAATGTTATTTTTTTTTATTAGTTAGTGTAAATAACTATTTTTAATTATAATAAAGATTTAGGCATACCATTTGTTTAAATTTATTATAATTTACATTATAAAATTGTGACGGCACAAAATGGTTTGACAAGACAAAAAACTTAAATGTCAAAAACTGCTTGGTTTCTTTTCTCTGTTTAAAATTATATAAGCGTTACTATTCTTACGTAGTCGTAGAGAAAATAATGTCTGAAACACGTTTGGAATAGCATATTCCACTCTCGTAAAACCGTCACACTCGCCTTCGGCTCGTGTGTCAAATTTTTCCTCGAGCGGAATATGCTGTATTCCAAACTTGTTACAGAATGTACTATTTTGTGTTACCAAAAGTCTATAATCAGATTATGCTATCAGTTTTGGTTGGCATTTTTGTTCGTCCTATACTTTGGTTTTGACCACCGTGCCTTACAAAATTTTTGTGTTGGTCGTTAAATACATATTTAATCTATCGACATTTGTACTATTATAAGTGGAGACGCACTTCATGTTGAATTATATCTCGATATTATTAGAATTACCTATACGAATTTTATTTTTTGTTTGTAGTTTATGTTTTGTTATGTTTATTTTATGTTGTCAGTGTCAGTTTATATTAAGTTTAGATATTCTATTTTCTATACTTTTTGTATAAGTCGCTGAATATATAGGTATCTTAATTAATAATTTAGCTTCATTTTCCTTTTTACCACCCTAGCATCCCAAAAATTATTAAATTTTTAAATAAATTGGAGAAATTATTATTAAACAATGTTGTGTTATTATGTGCCACAATTTGTGCAATTTCACCATAAATATTATATTAAAAACTACGAAATGGTATTTTCATTTATGATCTAATCATTAAATAAAAATACTATTAAGGATAGTTTCCAATGAAAGAGCTACATTTTATTGGGTAAATTACTAAAGTTTAGAATAAATAGATCAAATAACTAACCGTTGTAAATGCAACGTGGTCTTATTAGTTAGAGAAGGATCTTTCCCGATTATCAATTCGGTAAACCTTTTACAACAATGCATGATACAAATATTCGTTAAAAAACATTAGTCATTATTTTTAATGTGCATCTTAAATAACTAATTTATGAGGCAACAAAATGTTTTGTTTGCAATATGTAGGTTATCAAAGTATATTGTCAAAATTTTATCTAGGTTATCAATTAAGAAATTAATTAAATTACAAAATATTGGCGTACAAATCACGTGGTAAAATATTGTTCCTGTAATAAAACACGTCAGCACGTACTTTAAAATGGACTTTATAAGTTTTTGTTTTTTTTTTGAAAATAATTATGCATTCAATTACTACAAAGTAAGTAAATAGTTTAATCTTAAGTAGATATCAATGAATATTGAACTTTTTTACATATATCGTCATTCAGTATTATTCATTAAGATCAAGAATTTGATAAACTCGATACAAATCTGCAATATCATTATTTTAGGAGAAAAAAAGGCCATAATTTTCTTTTACTAGAAAAATTATTAATTTGCTAAAAATGCTATTTTTTGGTATTCAACCCTCGCCAATAAGAACCAATTATTTTCACTTGTAACCCACTTTTCAAATTGATGCAAACGAACTAAAATTGTTATTTTTAGAAGGAAAGGTGAAAAACTGTTTTACAAGATCTTTTGTTCAATGCTCAATGGACAAGAAGATAGAGGATTATTTACGTTTACTTAAGAATATGAATATTTGAATTTTTTATAATAGTTTTATAAAAACATGCAAACAAGTATAGTAATTGGACATTTTATTTAGTAATTGGACACATGGACCATAGTTATTGGACATACAATTTTTATAGAAACATAACAACTTTACATCAAATAACATAAATTGTTAAATATTTTTTAAAGATAAATTGCTGTTTTAGGTAATTTTTTTTAATTCGTTTTTGTAAATATCATATAATTCATATATTTCTTTCTCGGATTCCCCATCCCTTTTCTGGATTCTGAAGGTAACTACTAATTCCTTGGTCTGACTTCTGAAATAGTTTGTTGCAAATATCATTAAGTGTGGTATCTCTAGTTTGTGAAGCAGTTATAATGTTTAGGCCGAAACAGGATGATTTATTTGTATCTAGTAATTTTTCGGGTGGTATGTGAAAAGTATTTTCCGAATTTATTAATTTTGTTGCCATTAGTTTTTTATGTTCTCCATCATGCACTGTATTTAAATTACTGTTATTCTGCAAGATGTCCTGTAACGAAGAAATCACTATATTACTTACTCTCTAAAAATGGATTAGTCAAAGATGTCAAAGCGAAAAACCAACCAATTGCTCAACAGCCATTTGTATCCAGGACATTTAGCAGTCAATTCTCATGAAATATTAATCGCTGAATCCGAAAATGTCGTCAAAAGTAATAAAGGTTGAACAGTTTTTTAAAATATAGGTAGTCAATTTTATATATAATATGGAATTGACTATATCTCAAAAACTGCTTAACTTTTATAGTTTTTGACGGTATATTCGGATTCAGGGGACAATTTTACGTAAGAATTGGCTAATAAATGTCCGAGATATAAATAGAGTATGATATTGGACATAATATATTATGTCCAATAATAGAAATTTACATTTTTTACCAACCAGTAATTGGAAACTGGCCATTTTACTGTTTGTTTTCAGAATTAAAAAAATCTTGCCAGTAGTAACGTGGGAACTTTTTTGTCCTATATTGGACCCAAAATAAAGTAGTTCTATATTATTACCGACTGAGATAGTTATAATTGTATACAGCGTTATCTAATGATTTGACTTTAAGGTAACTATTTATAGAACTCTTGTTTTTACAGTATTAATGTTAATTGTCCAATAACTATAAAGTGTCCAAAAACTGTCTACTTTACCCTATATAAAACCATATTTATTTTAAATGCGAAAGTCTGTCCGAGTTTGTTCCTCTTTTACCCCTAAACTGTTGTTGTACCCAACATTTGAGGATATTTACTAACTATTGTAAATTTTGTTCGGTGGAAATAAAATATGAAAATATAATACAAAAATATTTATTGGTTTATGTTAGAAAAAATAAAATCTCAACTAAATCTATAATTTTGGATAGCAAGCATCAGATGCAATACCGCACATGTTCTTTCCACGGTTCATACGAATGTATCCCCTTTCTCCCCAGGATGGTCCCCAAGAGTTCTTGACGATCCAGAAGTCCTTTCCGTTTTCGCTTCCATAACCGACAGCCAAAACACCATGGTTTAAGTAGGCTTTGTCACAGGTACGGTCAGTGAACAATCCAGACTCGTAAAATTGGAATTCATCGGAGGCATCGATAGAAACGGAAACTGGACCGACGGTTCCTACAGCGTTCAAAAGATCTTCTTCGCTATCTTCTTGGATTTGTACATATCCAGATACTTTGGTGATGACTGCACTAGCGTTGAATCTGCAACGTCTGTCTCTTTCTTCGTATGGGTAGGCAGCTTCGCTGTTGATACCATGGTCCTGGATATATTCAAAAGCGGAAGTCATCAAACCACCATTGCAACCTTCGTTTCCGTAGGAACCGGCGCAGTCGACCAAGTTTTGTTCACTTAGGGAGATCAATTTTCCTTTTTGGATTTTGAGTTGTGATTCCAAACTTCCAGTCTATAAAAAAAATATTATTTGTATTATTTTTGTATACTGACATTGTATAGAATAATAATGAATAAAAAGAACACTTACAGTACTGAAAGCCCAGCATGATCCACATTGCCCTTGGTCCTTAACGGGAGTTACGGACCCAGTGGATCTCCAATCGATGGAATCAGGAGCAGCTTGCACAGCCTGGAATTTTTCGGTGGCTTTTGGCCTTTCAGCGGAACCACTGAGTTTCAAAAAAGCACCAAATTCTTCCCTGGTCCAGTCAGCGAATTGATTGATTCCCTTTTTGAAAGAAGTCAAGCCTTGTTCGTATTCGACATTGTGTTTTTCGATTAGGTCCAAGTTGTTGAGGAAAATTTGGTAACGGTAACGTTCCTCAATAAGGGATTTGTAGGATTTTTTGTGGCTGGACTGCAATAAAATTTAGTTAATATAGGTTAAACAGGTTATTGAAAAAACTTACTTTGAAATCCTTCCATAGGGCTGTGTTGGCTGAAACAGCCACAGCCAAACAGGCAATCAAAATAAAAACTTTCATAGTTCTAAAAATTCAAAAGGTTAATTTTAAATGCATGTAAAATATTAACGTTTACTTACTTGCTTGGTAAAAACAATAATATTTTGGTATGAAAATGTTACCCTATTTATATGATTTTTTAAGATGTTTTAGCAGACCACTTAAGATAAAAGTAAAAAATGTTTTTGTTTGATTGTAGGCATTTAATCAATTATTTGTATCTTTTACAACTTGGTATGTCAAGCGTTTATTTTTAAATAATTTTAAATTTTGTTTGTTATTATTATTTTTTTATACCATAATAAAAAGAGTTAATTACCACGTAATTTAATGTAAAACAAAACTTACGAATAAACTTCCATTGAAAAAATACCAATATATACTTAAAATACAAATTATATTGATCCCAACCTAGGTCCTACCTACCTACCCTTATCTGATTTTTTAATCAAGTAAGTCTTAGCTGAATGACTATCAATTTTTTTTACAGGCTAGGATGTAGAAAACTTGACCAATTGGTCTAAATTATTTTTACAACCAAGGAGATAATCGAATACTTTGATAGTTAGACAATAATAAAGCTTAAATACTAGTTATAGAACGTTTGAAAATAAAGGTAATTTAATTGCAAACACAGTAATATTGGATTGGCTGTAAAAAAGTGGCCAATAACTTGTAGATAATGTTTAAAATATCCTTGACTCTAGATGAAACAATCGAAAATCGTTCTAATTAACCTATAGGTTGGTATACCAAAACGTCAATCCAAGAGATGTCGCAACCGTTAATACATACGAGGTGTGTTCAGGAAATATCGGGAAATTTCGTTTTTTGAAACAAATATTTATTTATTCGTGTACATTAATGTTGTCGCCTTCAAAATAGTCCCCATTGGATATTATGCACATGTGCCAGCTCTTCTTCCAATACTCGAAACACTTCTAAAACTCGATCTTTGGAATAGCCTTTAGTTCTTTCAGCGATGCGCTTTTAATGTCATCTATGCTTGCAAAACGACGGCCCTTTAAGGTTCTCTATATTTTTGGGAATAGGAAAAAGTCAGACAGAGGCATGTCTGGCAAATATGGAGGCTGGGGCATCATTACAGTATTGTTTTTGGCCAACAATTTTGGAACAAATTTTGCTGCAACGCGTTTCATACCCAAAACATTTAAAAAAATTTCATGGGATGAGCCAATCGATATACCAACATCATTCTCTGATGGTTTATAACCATTTCTTCCACTTTTTCCATATTTTTATAGGTTGTTAATGTGCTTGTGCGTTCGGGGCGTTCGTCATCTTCAACTTCTTCACGGCTATCTTGGAAACTCTTATACCACTTGTAAACTCTTGTTTTACTTATAGCAGACTCACTATAGGCCTTTGTTAACATTTCACAGAATTTATTTCATTTTTTTAAGCAAAATTGTATACAAATTCTTTGATCCATTTCTTTTAACGAACGAAAATCGCCGAGCTCATAAAACACGTCTAACCTTAGCGGCTACCACAGATAAAGTAAACAATGAAAACAGCTAAAGTTTTTATCATACTTCGGGGGCATGTATACCAACATAATAAATCAAATTTTACACACCTCGTACACACTTTACATGATTTTAGACCCCAGCCCCTGTAAATGAATAAATAAGAAAATAGCCCTCCCTTTCTCAGCAAAAAAAATCAAAAATTGAACCTCCCACCCAAACTATAACCTACTCAACACAGGCTTCCAAAACGTTCCGGCGCCCCTGAATGTATGTGCTTTTTTTAACCAAAACCTAGTGTAAATAAAACTTTAAAAGGAATATTGACAAGCAAAAAATATATTTTTAAAGTGATAAAGCATTTTTTATAAGTTTTTAGTTGTTAGTAAATTTGTGACCCAGGGGACAATTTTTTTTCTTTTTTTCTTTTTTAAGGGCTTATTTAAAAAAATCCAACTGCCCACTTTTAGATAACACACCTAAATAAGCAAAATTTGGAAAAAAACAAGTTTGTTACTTTTTTTCAAGAATTTCGAAAATGACCCTATTACAATGTATTTGCACAATTTGTATTTATTAATAGTAGTTAATCAGTTTAATCTTAAGTATCAATGAATATTGTAACTTTTTCACATGTATCGTCATTCAGTAGAGATCATTCAGTAAGATCAAGAATCAAGTGTACGATAAACTCGATATAAATCTGCAATATCAATATTTTATGAGAAAAAAAAGATGGCCATAATTTTCTTTTAATAGAAAAGTTATTAATTTGAATAAAAATTGTGTCTTTTAAAAATGCTATTTTTTGGTATTTAACCCTCGCCAAACAGAACCAATTATTTTCACTTGTGACCCACTTTTCATTTTGATGCAAACGAAATAATTATTATTTGTAGAAGACGAAAGGTGAAAAACTGTTTTACAAGATCTTTTGTTCAATGTAAGAAAGACGTCGCCAGCCAATGGGCAAGATGATAGAGGATATGAATTGTAGGCAATAAATAAACACAATTCGTCAAGGTTTAACCTTTACAAATTGTATTTATGTTGGATAGGTAAGGCCCGCGGCTCAAAGAAAATATAGAAATAAAAAAAATATATATTTTTTCCAAATTTTGCCTTAAAAATCGCCATTTGATGGCTCAGGTTTCTGGGTCCGAAAGTACGTAGTAATGGGTCACTATTTTATAATAAAAATCCATTGAACTTACCTTAACTTGCAATACTACACACCTACTACCACAATGTGTACGCTTTCTGGGTTATAATTAACAGGGTTTTTTTGATAAGAAATGTGATAATTAAAAACATCGCCCATAGTCAAACATCGGTCTTACTTAATAAAAATTAAATTTGATTTTATATTTAATTAGACCCAACATTTGAGGACATTTACAACTATTGTAAATTTTGTTTGGTGGAAATAAAATAAGAAAATAAAATACAAAAATATTTATTGGTTTATGTTACAAAAAATAAAATCTCAACTAAATCTACAATTTTGGATAGCAAGCCATGGAAGCAATACCGCACATGTTCTTTCCACGGTTCATACGGATGTATCCCCTTTCTCCCCAGGATGGTCCCCAAGAGTTCTTGACGATCCAGAAGTCCTTTCCGTTTTCGCTTCCATAACCCACAGCCAAAACACCATGGTTTAAGTAGGCTTTGTCACATGTACGGTCAGTGAACAATCCAGATTCGTAAAATTGGAATTCGTCGGAGGCATCGATGGCAACGGAAATTGGACCGATGGTTCCTACAGCGTTCATAAGATCTTCTTCGCTATCTTCTTGGATTTCTACATATCCAGATACTTTGGTGATGACTGCACTAGCGTTGAATCTGCAACGCCTGTCTCTTTCTTCGTATGGGTAGGCAGCTTCGCTGTTGATACCATGGTCCTGGATATATTCAAAACCGGAAGTCATCAAACCACCATTGCAACCTTCGTTTCCGTAGGAACCGGCGCAGTCGACCAAGTTTTGTTCACTTAGGGAGATCAATTTTCCTTGTTGGATTTTAAGTTGCCCTTCCAAACTTCCAGTCTATAAAAACAATTTTATTTGTATTACTTTTGTATACTGACATTGCATAGCATAAAAATGAATAAAGATAACACTTACAGTACTGAAAGCCCAGCATGATCCGCAACTTCCTTGGTCCTTAACTGGAGTTACGGACCCAGTGGATCTCCAATCGATGGAATCAGGGGCAGCTTGCACAGCCTGGAATTTTTCGGTGGTTTTTGGCCTTTCAGCGGAACCACTGAGTTTCAAAAAAGCACCAAACTCTTCCCTGGTCCAGTCAGCGAATTGATTGATTCCCTTTTTGAAGGAAGTCAAGCCTTGTTCGTATTCGACATTGTGTTTTTCGATTAGGTCCAAGTTGTTGAGGAAAATTTGGTAACGATAACGTTCCTCAATGAGGGATTTGTAGGATTTTTTGTGGCTGGACTGCAATAAAATTTAGTTAATATAGGTTAAACAGGTTATTGAAAAAACTTACTTTGAAATCCTTCCAAAGGGCTGTGTTGGCTGAAACAGCCACAGCCAAACAGGCAATCAAAATAAAAACTTTCATAATTCTAAAAATTCAAAAGGTTAATTTTAAATGCATGTAAAATATTAACGTTTACTTACTTGCTTGGTAAAAACAATAATATTTTGGTATGAAAATGTTACCCTATTTATATGATTTTTTAAGATGTTTTAGCAGACCACTTAAGATAAAAGTAAAAAATGTTTTTGTTTGATTGTAGGCATTTAATCAATTATTTGTATCTTTTACAACTTGGTATGTCAAGCGTTTATTTTTATATAATTTTAAATTTTGTTTGTTATTATTATTTTTTTATACCATAATAAAAAGAGTTAATTACCACGTAATTTAATGTAATACAAAACTTACGAATAAACTTCCATTAAAAAAATACCAATATATACTTAAAATACAAATTATATTGATCCCAACCTAGGTCCTACCTACCTACC